TCAGGCATGAATATTAGTAACTATAATTTACAAATACATTCGAAAGATACACGTCTTAAAATATATGAATAATACTATGCTATATACCTGAATAAATTATTATTTTATTATTTTACATGTGACATGTGCCCATTCGGATGCATACAAATATTTTTGTCTGTATGGAAATATAATATGAAACTGTGATATAAAATATATGTAGTTTTGTAGTATTTATCCGTACGTTCAATCAAATAGAATATAGCACATGGGTTGAAATGGGCATTTCTTTTACAGTCAGTTTCAGCCAGGACAAGGCCCGAAGCCACTCGAGGTAGATGGTTACGTCATAGATTAGTTTATATGGAATGGTGGGAAAGATAACGGTTAACTCCAGACTAGAACAGGTTAAGATTGTAGTGATCGGGGGAAAATCCTCTTGAGAGTCTGTTTCACAGGGCAATGGTTCGCGGAAAGATGTTTGAGTGGAAATTACTGCTCGCCGATGAAATACGAAATTAATGTTGGTGGCACTGTAGCTGTGAAGGTTAAACATCGCGGAAGCACTTTCCATGGTAATAGCAAGAGAACAGTGAGAGAATCGCCACACCCCGCCCGTGGGAGAGAGGTTGGAGAGTGGAAAATAATTCTTCTCCAAAAAAAAGATTCGGATACGCTTTTGATCTCCATTAAAACTGGAAAGAGAGGAGCAGGCCTCTCCCACACAAATATGCCAACAATACTCCATTTTCGGCCTTATCCTGCTCTTATAAAGGTAGATCATAACATGAGGAGTCAGGTACTTACTGGAACGGTACAGGGGGTCGATTATTTTACTTGCATCTTTAGTGATGGATCGTATATAAGAGTTCCACTTGCTGTGGGGTGTGAGTTTGAGGTCCAATTTCTTCTCAAGGCACGTGATGGGATGTAACCAGTTTGGTTTTAGAGACATTGAATGTTACCAGCCATTTTCCCCCACTGAGAAGTTAGTGTTAAATCAGAAGAGAGGTCAGCTATCAATCTCTGATTGTCAAGAGATTCAGAGGTGCGCCCGTATATCCTCATATCAGCATAGATGTTTACAAATTATCGGAGCATATTCTTAGGTGGATTATTTATGTAAATCAGAAAGAGGGTAGGGCAGAGAAGCCACATAGGACTGGCCGTTAATAACTACCTTCAAGGATCAACCTGTAGGAAGGATTTTATGATTGAGAAAACCCTTCCCGTGATTCCATGGGTGAAGAGCTTTTGTAGCAAACTTTTGTGCCACACTTTGCCGAAGGCCTTCGAGATCTCTCCTGCTATAATGCTTGCGGTGTGTGTGGTTAAGCGCCTCACTAAGTCAGTGTATAGGAGCAGGACATCAGCAGTGGATCGGACTGATCGAAATCTATACTGCTCGTCGCACAAAAAGTTATTCCTATATAGGTGCTTGACAACATTCTGGTTGATTAAAACCTCAAATGTTTACTGATGATACTAGAAGACCTATGAGTCTATACTGGAAAGGGGATGATCGGTGGCTTGCGTTCTCGAAGACGGGGCATACATTTGCCATTTTCCACAGTTGGGAAAATTTTCTTCTTCAAGTAGCGGTTAAATAAGTTGGATGGGATCGGGGATAATTCAAGGTTGATATTGTTAAAGATGACCAGGGTAAATTTGGTTGTGCCAGTAGCTTTTTGGGGGTCGAGACATTTGATAAGTCTAAAAACTTCTCCAACTGAAATGAGTATATTACTGAGATTGAGTGAGACGTGGGAAGTTGGGAAGAGGATGGCCTTTGTCATCTAACGTTGACTTTGAGGTAAAGATCGAGATGAAGAGCTTATCTAACGAGGAGCATATAACCTCGGGGCCATTTACAATAGTGGCCCAGCCTCTGTACCTTTGTTCATAATTCAGTTAGTGATCTTCCACAATTCACAAGATACAATTTCTATCTTTTCAACCTTGGCCTCAACATATCGCTCGTAGTTTTCCGGGACTCTCTTACAGCGATTGCGGGGGGTGGTATAAAAGAAGTAAGGGCCAGACTACACCCTTCCTTGCGATAGATTTTGAAGTAGTGTTTCCGTTAAGCTATGGCTGATGCACGTTCGGGGATGAAACAGAGCTGTTTAATTTTTGCGGCATTCATTCGGAGATTAGGGCAGCAGTTTCTGGATTGACATCCTTAAGGACGATCACTGGAATTTTGTTTGGTCCAGTGGCATTTTTGTGGTCGAGGTTTTTGATAAGTCTAGAGTCTTCTCTTGCTGAAATGAGTATATATACTGATATGCCTTCAGTGAGACGTGTGAAGTCGGGGAGGGGATGGTCTTTGTCATCTAACGTTGAGTTTGAGGCAAAGATCGAGGCGAAGAGCTTCGCTTTGTCTTCCGAGGAGGATATGACCTCGGGGTCATTTATAATTATGAACTCAGCCTCTTTGCCTTTGTTCATAATTTGGTTGGTGATTTTCCAAATTCACGAGATACAATTTGTGTCTTTTCAACCTTGGCCTAGACAGATC